TTTCTAGGAGAGGGGAGTCTTGCTCTCAACACAACTTTCTCCATCCCTTTCCCATCACACTGTCATACCTATGTGCCACTGTGCCTGCTTCCTCCACCCTTCTCCTGAGGGCAAGCAGCCTTGCAGGTAGCACCAGGGCTACAGCCCTGCATGGGGAGGGCAGAGCATGCGATACAGAGTCATAGCATCCATGCTGAATAATTTGGCATTTCCTATGCTTGGGAGGTGCTAATATGGTAGCCCTGATATGCTGCACTTCCCTGTGCTGTCCCTTTGTTTCAGATACTGAGCCTTATGTCTTCTTGCCCTGAAACACTACTGTCAAGTGCCACTTCCTATTTCTACCATCCCACCCATCTTTCTCGCATCTTGCTCTGTTCTTCACTTTTGTCTTTCCCGTTCCTTTATTTCTTTGCCTCAGTCTGTGGAGATGTTACCTCATTTGCAGTTCCCTGTGCATGGTCTTGTGAGGCAGAAGCAGCAGCAAGGGTGTGAATTGTGGTGGTAGCAGTAATTCAGAATATTTGAGGTTGAAGATGGTGGAGGGGTTCCTAACTCCTGTTTCAGCTGTCAAAACTTTGCATAGAAGAGCTTCTTGGGTTTGTGGCACATTTTTATTTCATTGTAGCTGTTGGGCAGTAAGTGCTGGTATGAAACATGAGAAGGAACTAGGGCTGCCTTGCATGTGAGGAGAGCATGTGGGGCACATAGCTGTTGCCCAGAGGAGTGGAATATTTTAAGGAAGGAGCATCCTGGTTTTCATCAGCCATATTTTGTTTATTCCTGCATCAGTTTCAGAAGTAAGACTTAGAGTTTCTGATGACTCTGTTTTCCCTGGGCAGTTCCTGCTCATCGAAAGTGTGAATCAGTGGTGTGCATGATGTGGTTTGTATTATCACTCGGCTTAGGTAATACATATTGTCCACTTTCCTGTGCAGCATTGGTTAGTGAGTACTCATTTTCTCTTCTGGCAAGTGGAGCTTATTTTATACCTAACAATGGAAAATCCCCTTATTTCACTTGCAGAAGACCTCTAAACTTTGCCTTGATAAGCTGTTATCAATGACTTGAGGCTTCAGTGCTTGGTAAATGGAGCTACATCTGGCTGGCGACTGCTCAGCAGCAGTGTTCCTTGAGGCTCAATTCTAGGACCAGTTGTATTCAAGGTATTTGTTCTAGATAAATTGGAGCACTGGGAAATTATTAATAGAATGAAATTTAACAAGTCCAAATGCTGGATCCTGCACCTTGGATGGAGTACCACAGGGCACAAGAATAAGCTGGGAGAGGAGTGGCTGGAGAGCAGCCCTGCAGAGAGGGATCTGGGGATGCTGATGGGCAGCAGCTCAGTGTGAATCAGCAATCCTGGCAGGTGCATCAATCACAGCATCACCAGCTGGTCAGAAGAGGGGATCATCCTGCTGTACTTGGTGTTGGTGTGGCCTCATCTGGAGTATTGCGTGCAGTTCTAGGCCCCACAATTTAAGGATTTGAAGATCCTTGAACACGTCCAGAGGAGGACAACCATTAAAGAAATTTTTGACATTAGGCTCTCACCTCCATCAGATAGATTTATCAGCACAAATCAATTGTGATATCCGGCAGCTTGAGCTAGGTGCCTGAGGGACCTAGCTCATGGAGGACCCTGAGCAAAGAAATCCCTGGGCAATTATACCCTTATGATCTAACTTCCCCATGCCGCACTATTAGGGTCTGGGTCTTCTTGCTCTCCACTGGTTGACTATTTCATTAGCAAGAGGTTGCCCACATGTTCACCTTTGCATCCTCTTAGGTCAGTTTTGGTGGGGGTTTTGGCCAGATCTGTAGTCCATGTTATAATATGGTTGTCAGAGTTCATACACCATGATTTATGAGCTTTGTCTGGTCTAACTATTATTGATGTTCAGCTTTTATCTCTGGGCTTTCACTGTGATCCATCTTTGACTTACACAACACAGCCACATGGTTCAGATTGCAGCCTACAAGTTCAACTTGCAGCCTAACATTTCTACTTACTTAAGTCAAACAAGCACTTGGCTACTTTCAAGTAATACAAAATTTTCAACAGCAATCAAACTGGTGGAAGGGCTGTCAGATGTGTCCTGTGAGGAGCAGCTGAGCACTCTTGCCTTGTCTAGTTTGGAAAGACAGAGACTGAAAGGTGACCTCCTTGCTCTCTACAGCCCCCTGAGGAGGAGAAATGGAGAGGGAGGCACTGATCCCTTCTCCGTGGGATCCAGTGACAGGACACATGTGAATGGCTCAAAAAGCTGTGCCGGGGAGGTACAGACTGGACATAAGGAAGCATTTCTTTACCAAGAGGGTGGTCAAGCAGTGGAACAGACTTGCTAGAGAGGTGATTGATGCCTCAAGCCTGTCAGTGTTTAACAGGCCTTTGGACAATGCCCTTAACAACATGCTTTAATATTTGGTCAGCCCAGAAGTGGCCAGGCAGTTGGACTGGATGATTGTTGTAGGCTCCTTCCAACTGAAATAGAATAGAATACTTTAACTTAATGTATTTCCTGAATCTTATGAAGTGGCTTTTGGAACTGCTTAAGATGGTGGTGGGCTTTTTTCACCATGTGAATTATTTTTCTGGATGTCCGAACCATTAGTTTCTGAGTGACGGTGACTCTGTTCCTCAGATTATGATCAGTAATAGCGTGTTAACTCTGGTTTGATTACACTTACGGACACACTTCCACTTAATCTGAAAAACTGAAAACACTTCTCCAGTTTTCTGTTGGTTTAGAAGGTGTATCTGACCAATTTTCTCTGGTTTTGGCTTAATCTTTGATGCTTTCCTCTTCTTTCCATTGCTGACTTTTGTGACTTATGGGCTGGCTGTATATATTTCCATGACAGGGCATTAATCATTGGCTAGTGAATCAGGATTTTTTTCTTGTTGCTGTGTGTCAGACCATTTGTGTGAATGATCTTTTACCCACTTTACTGCAAGCAATCAATCTTGTAAGACCGTCAGCTGCTGAAACAATTTTTATTTCTTATTGAGGAATTGTTGGAATGCTTACAATTATCCTGTGGTCAGATAATTAAGTCTGAAATGAAAGCTATTTAAATATGTGGTTCTCTTCTTCCTGTTCAACATTTTACCATCTGGTCTATTGAATATGTCCTTGTATGACAGAGCACTCTGAAAAAATTGTGTTTTAGCTTTGTCAGAGTTACAAAATTCTGTCCTTCTTGAGGTTTTAAGTTGCTTTTATGTATGTACCTTTCTCCCCCAAGGCTTTAATTCTGAGAGAGAAACAGGACAGCGTGGGGCTGTCACAGCCATCTCATTTTGCATATCTTTTCTTAAGCTTGTAGCCACAAAACTGGTATCAGCATTGTGGTTTACCCTTATTGGTTTACTTTGCTTTTGCTATAACTATCCTAGCTGAAAAAGCAAAATAGAAATGGAACTTTGAGGCTGTGCCTGTGCTGCTAGGCATCTTACCACTTTCAACAAAGCGAGCTGGTAAAACAATAAAGGAAAGGTAGTTCAGTAAAACTCTGTGTGAAATTATATGGGCTGAGTGGTGTTTCTTTGCAAAAAATTAGTTGATTTTCATCATTCACATGACCTGATGCATAGAGTACCTTGACACATGCTCTCTGTCACATATGCAGAAGCATCAACATGTGCAGATGGCGTGGCCAGGATCACTTGTGTGCAACATAGATGACAAGGGATGCTGGTTGTCAGGTCTTCATTGTGCTTGGAGTCCTTCATGGTACTACAAACTAGTTTTTGGATAAATCTATCATATCCCTCAGGAGTCATCAGCTGGGATGGGATAGGTCTTTGCTGTAGAAACTTGCTGAGTTCAGGTTTCATAAATCTTGGGCCAAGTTGTTACCTGGTTTTGTTTTGTATTCTCTTTTTTTTTTAACCTTTTTGTTGTTGTAGGTTTTTTCCTTGTCTGAATGTGTGTTAGAAATACACACCTAGGATCTGTTTTCCTATTGGGCCAAGGGGCAAAGGAATTGTGTTTGAGATACACTGCAATCTTGTTACTATCTGCCTGGTGCAGGATCTTTTGCTAATGAGTCATCTATGCTGTGGTTTTACCAGAGTGTAGACCTTTTGGCCATGACATAAACAGCTTATTTCTCAATTTCACTGCTGGGAATAGTGTCCTGGAAACAACGTCCAGGGAATGGCCTCTTTCATTATTGGTACAGGCTGTTCTTTTAACCCTTTGTTCCTGTGTGTTTACACACTCACACTCTTACAGTCATATGGCAGTCATGTCAATCTTAATATTTCTGTTAAAATTGGCAGGAAAAGAGTAATTTTCAAACAGAAAATGGAAATCAAATCTTAAAGGAATTAAAGAAAGAAATGCACATTTTTGTGGCAGACTGCAGACTGATTGTTAACACCTGCAGTTTTAGAGGAAGAATATATGTTTGACACAGGAAGAAGTTGAAAACCTAACTTTCCCACATTTCTCAGGCTGCCTTGCTCAGGAGTTTTGGAAGCTCTTCTGTATTTTGCAGGCACTGAGATCATCCTCTGCCTTATTCCAAACATCCCATCTTGTCTGTTTGTTCAGTAGAACTGTAAGTACTGGATGCATTCTTCTCTGTGGAATTGTTTCTACATGGACAGCCTTACTGCCTTCCTTAATAAAAACATTCCTTTGCTCTTGCATAACTTTCATGCAAGCTGCAGCACTTTCAATGCATTCCATCTCTAATTTGCACATCATGAAAAGTATTTGTTTTATATACAACCAGTTTGTCATAGAGAGCATTGACTGTCATATTAATAACACAGATGACAGGCATCCATTTGCTGAAGGTTTTTTTTTTTTGAAAATCATCTCCCCACACACATTTGTCAGTGGAGGGTCCTGATACCAGAACTGGTCAAGTAAATTGAACTCACTGTTGTAATAAGATTTAATTCTAAGTGCCAAAGTCAGGGGTGTGGTCTGCAAGGTGATGTGATGTTCTCTTACCTTGTTTCTCCCCCTCTGTATTTACAGGTTATCCTAACATTTCTCTGCTTGTTGACGAAGACATCTGTAGAAATTACTCCAGTGCCATATACACTGCAAGTCCATCAGGTAGCTTTGTATGGAAGAGACACCTCTAACCCCTTGAGGAGAGAAAAGAAGCAGGTGCAGTGTCAACTGGGAGAATACCTACATCCTAGAAAGACCCACTGCTGCATGAGGTGTCATGCAGGTATGTAAAATAAGTGCAGTAGTAGTGACCTTCACCTCTGAGGCATTTCCCTGTCCTGCACTCTCAAACTGTCTCTTTTCTACAGCTACATCAGTGCTCTTTTTCCTTGGTACCTATCACTACCCAGACAAATTCTTATCTCTTCCTTTGGGTTGTCAGTGTCATTCACACTGGTGAGAGGAAGCATACTTGGTCCTTACACCATCAGCTCCAGGGTTTCTTTGAGGAACCAGTGACTCCCATCCTCCCTAAGACAATGCATTTGCCTTCCTGTCAGAGCTCTGTTAAGTGATTTTCTTGCAGGTACCTACAAGGCAAAAGACTGTGATGGGCCAGAGCAGGCACCTGTCTGTCTTCCGTGTGCTAAAGGCACATTCACAGCTGTTGATAACACCATGTCTCAATGCTTTCCGTGTACACGTTGCCGTACAGGTGAGTTATTATCAGATCTATAGGATTTGAGGAAAACGGGTGGTAGCAGTGAATGGGAGTTGAAGGAGATGGCAACGTGAGTGAGGAATCTTGGAAAAGTCAGCAAGTGAATGGATAAGACAGTGTATGAGAAGGGATTGGGGACAGCAGGAGTAAGGGTTACCAAATTGCTACAGTCTGAGACACAGTTTGCAGGCCTTTTTGGGCTTTTTCTGTGAAAATTAGGTAATAACAATACCTATCATCGTAACAGTGCTCTCAGTTGAAGGTGAAGTGAGAGGTTGGAATAATCATTTTTCTGTTCTTTCCTCAGATTTCCAGCAGATAGTAGAGGCCCCCTGCACCCCAAAGAAAGATACTGTATGTGGCTGTCAGAAGAATCAGTATCAGTATGGTTCGTTTGATTTCTTCCAGTGTAGGAACTGCAGCTCATGTGCCAATGGGATTATTGCCAACTGTGAGTATGGCATGGATGTGGCTCCAGTACTGACATATTCTACTAGGGTAAACATTAACAGCCCTCTGCTCACTTTCTGACATGCTGCAGCACCTTGTGCCAAAATGACTGTAGTTTTGAAAC